CAAATTTTTTGTGTTAATTATGTAAAATTGTGACTGTTCTTTTGTTAATTATGTTTCAGGTGCAGTAAACCAATTGGCAAGATCCTTTGCTTGTGAGTGGGGAAAAGATAACATAAGGGTCAATAGCGTTGCACCTTGGTTCATCAGGACTCCCCTTTCTGCAAATGTAAGATCCTTAGTTTTCGAGTATTCACGTGTATTGATATATTATTTATTCAAATTTGAGTCCACTCTAGACATTAGTTTTTGTTTTTTGTTTTTCTTCTAATGACGTACATGCGTCTGTATATAGGTACATAAAACTTATCATTCTCTCTACTTTGTACATGCAGTTTCTAAGTAATGAACAATTTTCGAATGCTGTCAACTCTCGAACCCCGTTAGGACGGCCGGGAGAGCCGAAAGAGGTGGCAGCCCTGGTGTCATTTCTATGCCTCCCTGCTGCTTCTTACATAACTGGCCAGACTATTTGCGCTGACGGGGGTATGACCGTCAATGGCTTCCTCTTCCAAGGATAATGATTGCAATTAAAGTTGAGCACAAATCGATGTCACTTTCCCAATTTCTAGTGGGAGACACTATTGCTACTGTGTTCAAAATGCTTTCTATGTTAAGAATTATTGTTGTCTTTACATCTTCAGAATAAGTTGTTGAAATCCTATTATATAGGAGGTTAGGTTTTTTTTTTTTTTTTTTCACTTATTCTTGGGGAGTATCCCAATTGCTTAAGAGTGTGTTAATGGTTGTTCCCATGTTTCTTGCTGAGTTTGGTGCTCGTATTATTCTAGTAAACATATTTTTCTCACATTATCTAGACATGATTTTCTTCCCAGTAAATTATTTTATTTTCTTTGTGGCCCCAAGACATCAATTTCCGGAGAAAAACTTGCATGTCATTGTCATGTCGTGCCGTCATGTGGAACACTAGTGGAATGTAATTGATTAGGGGAGCATTTTTTCTCACCACTTTAACCTAAGATGTACCCTCACCTTTTAAAAACTTGACACATGTCCATGGTATAACTATGGTTAATTATTTACTTTTAAATCTTTTAAAGTATTCAAAAACAAAAAACAAAATAAAAACTAAAAAAAATCTCTCTCCTTCTCTCTCTCCTTTCCCACCCCACCCGAAAATCCCTATTCTCTACAGCCACCCCCTTAGCAACCTGATAGGCTTTTTTGTACCTGCGCAAACAAGGTTAAAACTCCTATAAAACTTGCAAGAATGACAAGGTTATTGTAGTATAAATGATTCTCGCAAGGTCGTTCTCCGCAGGGATTATTAAATAACTCGTAGCAACCAAATTCTAATTAATTATTGTAAAAGAGAAAATTGAGATGTTTGATTTGAAAACCTTAAATTAAAACGAATTTAACTAATAAAAATAAGGCAATATGCAAAATTAAAGCTAAGAGCAAGAGAAACAGTTGTGTTTTTAGAAATTAAATTAAGAAAGCACTAGGTATCCGCCGTCACCTTAACAATTCTATATAGTTCTCCCAATTACTTATGACCTATACATGCATATTTCGAAGGTTCGGTATT